AAAAAAAAAAAAACAATTGACAAGTTGACCCTATGTTTAATCAGCATCTGAACATGTCACAGGTCACCATTCTGTGTTCTACCAAGGCTCACAGAAGGACTAGGTTTATTTTTTAATCAGACATTATTTGGTAATTATTCATTTTAGGATAAAATCTATGCTGACCATTCTTGTCATAAAGCCACAGTCTACAGCAGTGGTTCTCAACCTTCCTAATGCCGCAGCCCTTTAATACAGTTCCTGTGGGTCATGAACCACAGGTTGAGAACTGCTGGTCTATAGGATTGGAAGGTATTCGAGAACTCAGTAGTACAATCTCATTTTCCAGAAGAATAAACTAGGTAGGACCATGGGAAGGTAAATAACTTGTCCCACATGCCTGGTGCTAGTTTAAATCAGTATTTAAACACTGAAGCTAACTGAATCAGATTTGACCAAAAAGGAATAATTTTCAAATGTTTAACCAGTTTGCATCAGAAAGTAATTTTCTGAGTTTAGAAGGGAATATGAAGATCGTCAAGCAATCACTTTAGGTAATAAAGGAAACTTTCAAAAATATTCCCCTAGTATCTAACACAATGCAAAATTAAACAAATAAGGAAAAGTTTAAAGCTAGGACTCTTCCTGTTATCTTTCTTTCATAGAAGCAATACACACAGAATGCTCCACTGGAGTTCAATCTAAGGGAAGGAAAATCACTTACGGAGCAACAGAAAAATTTAATCCACAAGGTGCCTCCTCCTCAAATAAGTCTGACAGCTTTGTCAATTTTCTGCCAACTTAGCTTTGGTATTCTGAAGACAGTGGCCTAGGCATTCCCAAGGAGGGTCTGACTTGACCTACTCAGACCTTGACATCTAGAAAGTTCACCGTTTCCCAGCTTCTCCCCACTATCCATGAAAAAGACCAGAAAGGCTGGTTGGTGGTTCTTGGAGATGAGATGACAGGCCTGCAGATGAATCTGTAGCCTCTGACCTCCCAGTAGAATTCTGACTCGCATGACTAACTAAAGCAGCAGCCTAGATTACCAGAAATATTAGCAATTTTCATTTAAATGAACCTTCTCTAGAGACCCTGTGTAGATGACATGAATGAACTGCTCAAAAATTTCCTCAGCAAACCTTTAACTCTCATTTTTGCTGACACCATTATTTCTATATGAATAATGAAGAAAAATTATAGAGACAGAAAATTTTTAAAGAAAGAAAAGCAATTTTTGTCTTTGCTATGTAAAGGCAGTTACCCAGGGCTAATATACATATCCAAGGAATAGCTGAAATATATGAACCCTGGAATCCAAAAAAATAGTATGAAAATTAAAATAACACGGAGGCATAAAGGTCTGAAGGATAACAGGTAACCATCATTATTCTGCAAGCGGGCCCAGAGACAAAGATGGCTTTCTGGACCTACTGACCATCCCTACAGGTTTAACTGAGATCTTGATAGAAAATTATATTAAAAATTACAATGAAGGACCTGGTGCGGTGGCTCATGCACTTTAGGAGGCTTACACAGAAGGACCACTTGAAGCCAGAAGTTCAAAACCAGCCTAAGCAACAACACAGCATAGCTGCAACCTGAAATCCTACAAAGAAATGAAAAAACTAGCCAGGTATGGTGCACACACCTGTGGCCCAGCTACCCAGGAGACTGAGGCAGGAGGATCACTTTGGCCCAGGAGTTTTAGGTTGCCAAGAGCTATGAAAATGCCACTGCACTGTAGTTCAGGCAACAGAATGAGGGCCTTTCTCAAAAATAAAGAAGTTGCAATGATGAATAACTTCATTTCCTCTACCTCTTGAGATATAAAGTACAAATTATACTTTGAGTACCAGACCAATGTAAAAAAAACACACAAAATTAGTCATGATGTCACTGAAGAAATTAGTGTACAACTAGAAGAAGAATGATATCAAAATAAGTAAATTCTCAAAGAGACTGGATTTATTACATGATGCTCAATCTTATGTAATCAGCTGAATTATTTCAGTATGATTTCCTTAATCCAGCACATTGAAATTAGATTATCTAACATCATGCTCCTAGAGAGGAAAATTCAACCCTTCAAAAAAAAAAGAACAGAAAAAGACCTGGA